GCTGGTCATACTTACGTGAAATCATCAAGGATTTGCTCTTTGCATGAAATGAAATTCAATCTAACTTAGCAATAAATTTAAATGAAACCTTAACTGTGGATAAGCTATCTGCTTAACCAGTGTAGCCATCAGCCACATATTCAGCCTAGAGGGGAAAATGGTAGACTACTGAAAAGCAAACTAAAAGTACTCCTAAAAGTAGTTTGTGGTAATGAGCTTGCTGATGTACTCAATATAGTAATATTACCAAAAACATCATGCCAATCTAAAACCAGGAATCCTAAAACATCATAAAACTCTGGAAACCTTTGGGCTGGGAAATCCTAGAATGACATGTTTCCCCTAATTCCTACAACACCAACCTAACTACCCTTAAATTCAAATTGCAGAAGTCTAAGACCCTCTTCTCCCCCCCCCCCAAAAGGTGGATGAAACACCTGAAGACCACTATAACCCAGAAACCTAAAACTGTGAAGCCTAAAACTCAGAAATCTGAGACCCAGAGACCTTTAACCCTTATAATTAATATGAAATGGTAGAAATAAGCTAAGGACTTTGAAATCTAAGAACCTGAAACTTAAGACCAAAATCTAGGACTCTAACACTCAGAACTTATGGCCCTTAAACCCAAGAACCAGAAATATACCTGAGACATGGAAATCTGAGATCTAGAATATACTATCACCCTGGACTTAAAACTGGTTAAACCTGGAGATCCTTGACCCACAAAAAGACCCAAAAATATACCTTAGACTAGGAAATCCAAGATTCAGAAACCTGAGGCCCAAAAACCCACAACTTAGAACACCTTGGTCCCAAAAAAACTTGAGAACTGGAAAACCTAAGGAAAGGAAAACCATGACCCACCAAACTTAGATCTGAAAAACCTGATACACTTTGGAATAAGAAAACATATAGTGTGGAAACCTAAGACCCAGAAATATATTTTAAACAATTTTGTCAGCATGATGTTGGTAATATTAACTATCATTACTAATCAGTAATTGTTTTGACAGCCTCCATATGAGCAATGAGGTATGTCTTAGAACTATTTTTAGCTTAATTTAAACGTATCATTCAGCATGGCTTTGTAAAAAATATTTGAAATTTTCCATCCAATTTCTCCATTCCAAATGCCTATGAGTTATAATTTGTCTGTGGTTACCAATATCCAATAGCTTCAATCACACTCTAAAACTAGACCGAAAAAACTTAGACCCAAAAAAACCTTTGATACAAAACCTATTAAAGACCCAAAAGTCTCACACCCAAAGAACCTGAGATCTAAAAGATCCCAGGGCTTAAAAAACCACATATCTAAGAGACTTGAACCTTAACAAAATCTTAGACCAAAAAGACCAGAAAATGACCAAGAAATCTCCTTGCCATAGTCTCTTAGATTTTTTTGATTTGAAATTGAAATTTTCTTGAGATATTTTCTCCTTGAGGTGACAATCCTTGCCTTAACACTTTAGCCCCCACAATTTGAATGTGAAAACAGCCACCTCTGTCAGCTTAATGTGCACTTGCTCCAATTTTTATCTGTGTCACACACCTATGACAGTCACCATGAAATTAAATTTGGTAGATAAATCATGATGTTCAACAATGCCTTAGACCTAGAAAACTGAGATTGAATGAGTTGCGGTCTTAGAATAACATGTAAACTCTACAGAAAAAAAATTGATCAAAGACTATCCAGTAGGAATCAAGACAACTAAATCTAACATTAACCTCCCCAAACTTTGTTCAAACAAGTGCAAAAATTAAGGCATGCAGGCATAAAAGAAATTCCTAAGTGGTTCTATCTCACTTACTGTTTGTCTTCTAAATCATATTATGATAATAAAGACCCACAGTAAGGAGCAAAAACCTAAACTGAGCACCTAGAAAAATAGTGAGGACCAGAAATCCCACCCCCAGAGAGGATTCAGAAAACCTAAGACTTGGAAACCTGTGACAAGAGGAACCTAACACCCTCAATCTACAACCCCAACTACCTTAGACCCAACAAACCTAAAATACACAAACCTAAGAACAAATATCCTAAGACTGAAAAGACCTGAGA